ATTCAATTTTTGTAAGGGGAAGGAAGGCTTTTCTAAGAATACTCGAGCAAAACAAGGTATGAGGGAAAAGAATAGCTCTGTGGCCAGCGGCAAAGTTTAAGGCAAAACTGTAAAAAGTTCTGAAACAGATACTGTTCTGCCTAGCTGATATACTCACATTTCAGTGTGAATTTAGGCTTGCCTAACACTTAAGTATCCACAGGAGAGACACTGCTGTGGTCAGATACTGAAGTCTCCATAATGAAATTTTCCCCTGTATTTTGGTTAATGTAGGTCATCAGGTCACAAAAGCAAGTTTTCCCTATGAGTGTCTAGCTGACTATAACTGTCTTCCATAATGAACAAAATTTCTGTATTTTTTTTTCCTTTTATTCGTGTGCGAGTGACAGTTCAAAAGTTGTGAAATCATCTATTTGAAGAGGGACGTATGCTTAGGATTCTTCAAAATACAACTCAAGTCTACTATTAAAAATGGGGCGTGTGTGGGGGGCGTTTTTGTTTTTTTTTTTAACCTGTATTTGTGGACCCTCATTTTGGAAAAACAGTACAAAAAATACATTTTTCCATGTGATTTCAGAGCACCGGTGAAAGAGACTCCCGTTTGGGTTTAGAAGTGAACCTGACAGCATTTTTCCAGCATTGCGTCATATGTTTCACTCGCACTTTCACATCCTGCATTAAACCACATGCATGCACATCAACAAGACAAGATTGTAAAAGGAGTGTAACTGGGGAATTGTTTTCATGATACTTGATAGGAGTAATTGCGGCCACTGCTGTTTCAAAGCGACGGCGGTTATGCTATACTATGTCAACAAAAGTCATTTCTGCCATATGGAAACCTAATTACTTCAGAATGATCTGTTAGAAAGTGCTTTTGAGATAGTCAGGCCATTTATACAAATCAGTAAAAAATATTTGTGCATGAAACCTTTCTTAAATAAGACCTTTCATGTCTTTCATGTGTTGTAGATTGGACGTTACAGGGACAGCTTGGGAAATATTACAAAAGTAGACTTCTATTTAAGAGGTGGTAGGGAAATTTATGAGGTGATAACAAAATACGAGTATTTCCCTATGATTTCTGTGATAAACCTGATCATGCTCTTGCTGAATGGAGAGGAGATTTCTTTGCTACTTTCTTCAGCAAGACCCTAATATTGTGGGAAATGGGATGATCTATAGAATGCTACATTTTAATGAGATCATGTGATGCCAGGGATATTTACCTGTGTAGTATTTGTTAAAACTAGCTTTTAAGTTTTATCTCTTCTGCAGCCCTGAACATGCCTTGTTTTTACATTTGGGTGTTTGTCGCGTCTGAGTTGTTTAGGGCACCCATTAATCAGACATTTTTTTCTGTCACTATGAAACTAGAGTGTCACAGGTTTGATTGGTTAAGTGTGATAGTTCTGTACCTAGACTCTTGCTATTTGCTGTCAGTAGCTGCTACTCCCAAAACATACTTTTAAAAGACAATGTAATCTTATAAAGATTGTAAAAGAAATGTTGCAAGCTCCATGAATGTCTACATTTACCAGTGAAACTAGGTTGACTGATGTGTTTAAAGGGCTGTCTTAGTTGTCAAGGTATAGAAGTGTAATTTATGGATAGTCTGTTATGTATATGAAGTTTTAGATGGTTTATTTGCTGACTCTAACTGCAGAGATTTCTGACTCATAAACCATCTGCTCTGAATTGCTTTTCTTGAAAGCATTTCTGTATGCAGTCATTACCATCTACCTAAATCAGAAGACATAAAATACTCAGAACCAGATATATTCACGTGTTGGTAGTACTGGGGAGCAGCAATGACCTAGGGGAAAACTAA